GTAAGATCGTGGCATGACTTCCTAATACTTTTCTTCGACCTAACCACACTTTTTTCACCATTCCCTTTTCTGCATTTGGTTCTTCTCTTTGCACATAGCAGCAATTATTATAGTACACAACGCTATTCGCTTTAACTGTCCGGCGATTATTCCTGCGACACACCATGGTGATCGTACCGCACCCGCCACTGTCGACCACCTACTAGCTACCGGCGCCCGACTATGACTGCCGCCAACCACCCCCGTGTGTACAACAACACTCAGACCGGGCACTGCTCGATCGTGTGGACGGGGCTTTACACTCACCGCTGTGGTCATATTTCGGCAGTGTTGAGATCGTCACTACTGTAGGACCTCGACGCGATGATGAAGGTCCTGACGTCATGAGGTACTTTACCTGTGTTAATGATCCTTACAACAAACTCTATCTTGCAATACAGTATTAATTAACCATCGCTTATAATATTTCAGAGATGATTTTTGGGGTTAAACTGGATGATAAGAGCAGCTAAACAGGGAGAGTATATCACTGGATCACGCGCACCCACAGTGATTTACTTGCATAATACAAAATATTTATTTAAAGGTTAAATAAAAGATCAACGAACAAACCATCTTTATTATCAGTCATACGTCTTGTCTCGTCTTGCATTAAATAAGCGTTTTCGTCGCACCTGAAGCCCACGTGAAGGTCCACACCTGTGTGTGTTACTGACGTGACCGGCTCAGGCGCCCCTAGATGTGCTCCTGTACATGTATGTGTGTACACACACAATTATATATATATATATATATATATATATATATATATATATATATATATATATATATATATATATATATATATATATATATATTGATAAAAATCACACGGGAAAAGGGGAAACAACGGAGCACCTTGGCTTTCGTCTTAATTCAAGACAAAAGCTAAGGTGCTCCGTGTTTTCATTGTGGATCTACCAAATATATATATATATATATATATATATATATATATATATATATATATATATATATATATATATATATATATATATATATATATATATATATATATGTGTGTGTGTGTACGAAATAAAGGGAATTGCCTTTATTAAGAAGGTTAAGTGTCTGGTTATAAGTTAGGGAAGAGTCTACTGAACCTGTTCTGTTCGAGGATGTAGTGATAACTGACCCTGACCTAACAATAGGTAACATAAGGTAGTTAATTAACAGTTACTTCAGGTGAGGTTATTTACGTCCTAATTGGTTACTTGAATTGTTTTATCTTAAATTAATATTAATGATTGTCACAACGTCCGCCGTACAGCACAATACCGTCAACCATTATTGTTGTTTATTTAAAGTTTCCTAGTAGGCATTTCCCCTTACTTATATATATATATATATATATATATATATATATATATATATATATATATATATATATATATATATATATATATATATATATATATATATATATATATATATATAAAGTATAAGATAATGATGTACAGGTATAAAATACGGTGTTAGTAAGGTGTGTTACAGTACAGACCCTTCACCTGTCGCCCCACACTGGTACACGAGGCTCTCACTCTTGAGGTCTCCTCTAACATTATATTATTAGAGGCTGTTCTTCTAGACGTTGTGTGCCAGCCTCCCTGGCGGCGGCCGGAGTCACAAGGGGAGCTACAGTACAGTACAGTACAGGGTGACCACAAAATATATTACATCTTTATACAAACATTGATCTCCGTCATCATTAATGTCCCCCTCAAACAAGATTGACAAGTTGTGGACACACAGTTGACGCAGCAGCTGTTATAACACACAGTTGACGCAGCAGCTGTTGTAACACACAGTTGACGCAGCAGCTGTTGTAACACACAGTTGACGCAGCAGCTGTTATAACACACAGTTGACGCAGCAGCTGTTGTAACACACAGTTGACGCAGCAGCTGTTGTAACACACAGTTGACGCAGCAGCTGTTGCAACACACAGTTGACGCAGCAGCTGTTGTAACACACAGTTGACGCAGCAGCTGTTGTAACACAGTTGACGCAGCAGCTGTTGCAGCACACAGTTGACGCAGCAGCTGTTATAACACACAGTTGACGCAGCGGCTGTTTGACACACAGTTGACGCAGCAGCTGTTGTAACACACAGTTGACGCAGCAGCTGTTTGTAACACACAGTTGACGCAGCGGCTGTTTGTAACACAGTTGACGCAGCAGCTGTTTGCAACACGTTGACGCAGCAGCTGTTTGCAACACACAGTTGACGCAGCGGCTGTTAGCCACACAGTTGACGCAGCAGCTGTTGTAACACACAGTTGACGCAGCAGCTGTTGTAACACACAGTTGACGCAGCAGCTGTTGTAACACACAGTTGACGCAGCAGCTGTTGTAACACACAGTTGACGCAGCAGCTGTTGTAACACACAGTTGACGCAGCAGCTGTTGTAACACACAGTTGACGCAGCAGCTGTTGTAACACACAGTACTGTTGGTGATGACAATTGACTATGACATTATCATTCTTCAAACTTACAACGACTAATATAAAGAAATGATAAGTGTAGGAGACAGCGTCTCCCCTTGTGACATACCGCAACCAACCTCTCAGAAAGGGCTCATGTTTCCGTAAGGGGGCCACCTGAACGGCACGCGATTGGCTAACCAAGTGCCAAAACAAGGTGAATGGCTTTACCAACGCGGCACGTGATTGGTGAGCCAGGAAGGCGGGGCTCCGGAAAAACAGCCAATGAGGGAACACGGGAGGAGGTGGAGGGGAGAAGCAGGCAGTGTATTGAGGGAGGTGGTGGTGGTGACGGAGGTGGTGGTGGTAGTGAGGGAGGTGGTGATGGTGATGGTGATGATGGTGGTAATGGTGGTGGTGGTGGTGGCGCCGTGGTCATGGTGCTGAGAGATATCCATAATGATTCTTGGTGCATTTAAAATAAAGCTTTTTTTTTTTTTCAGAATAGTTGGATGACTTTACGTGATTTTGATGAGATAATAAATAAGACATACCAAGACTCTAAGTGATGTGAACGCTTTTGATATAATGTGTGTAATAGAAAAGTATATTTTGGGAGGTACAAGAAAACCCAGTTTGTAGTCCTGCTAAAACACAAGCTACTTATGTTGACCTTAACACTTGACCTGCAACCAACACAAATGACGCAGTTATGTAGACCTTGGTGGTGGTGGTGGTGGTTATGGTTTTGATTGATGGTGGGTGGGGGTGATGGTGGTGGAGATGGTGAGGGTGATGGGGGTAGTTAGAGTGGTGGTGGTGGTGGTGAGGGTGGGCGTGGAGTTGGGGTTGATGGTGGTGGTGGTAGTGATGGTGGTGGTGGTAGTGATGGTGGTGGTGGTAGTGATAGTAGTAATGATGCTGGTAGTGGTGCTAATAATGGTGGTAGCAATAATGGTAATGACGATGGCAATAATGATAATGATGGCGATAGCAATGGTGATAGTGGTGGTGACAATTAGCAAAGGGAGGTGGTTGTGGTGTGGTGGTGTTAATAAAGGGTTTCAAGTAGTGGAGTTCTCCCAGCACCCTGCCGTAACGGTGTATAAAGGGGAAGGGGTTAAGTAGGGGGGGTAGGGAGTAAGGAAGGGGGAGAGGGGAGTTAAGATGATAGTTAGTCATTTATACAACAAGGAGGGGTCACAATTCACGGGGATTATTGACCACAACAAAAGGAGATATTTTGATTGCTGGATAATAACAGAGGATGTCATTACAGGATAAAGGACTGGTGGGCACAGAGCACCTTTATATATCACAAGTATGAAAAAATAACCAACGGTACAACTATCAGAAATCATTGAAAAGAAGAAGTTTATTATTATTATTATTTATTATTATTATTATTTTATTATTATTATTATTATATTATTATTAGGACATTTCGAGTGAGCTGCTGTATGAAAATATCTATTTCATATCTTCGCTACTAGTATAGAATTTATTTACTACAGAAAATCTATCTTTTTTTTAATCTATTATAAATTATTTACACTCACTACAACACATGTTGCTCACCTCACCTTCAAGCGGGCGGTAATTGTTGTCTTTTTTCATTTGTTTTTGTTTTTATACATAATGTATAATCACTGAAGCACTTGTTTGTTCCTCATTATCTCGATATTTCCGGCTAGACATATTATATCCGGCCTGACATATATTACCACTCAATCCGGCAAGATATTGCACCATAAAATCCCAGTATGTCACACACACACACACACACACACACACACACACACACACATACCCTTTTTGAATGACTGGGGAGGTGAATACAGGAGGGGATGGTGGTAGATGGGAGGGTGTAGTAGTGGTAATTGGGTAGAAAAAGAGACCCAATGAGTAGGGATGTGCTTAAGGGGTAGTAGAGACCAGGGATGGTAGAGGTGGGAGTAGGAGTTAGGGGGTGAGGGATGGTAGAGATTGGGGTAGGGGTGGTAGGGGTGGGGTGGGGGGTGGTAGAGGTGGGAGTAGGGGTGGTGAGGGTGGGGTAGGAGTTAGGGGTGAGATGGTGGGAGATTGTAACAGGGTTGGGGTTTGGTGTGCAGGGGTGGGTGAGATTGGTGGGGTGGGGTGGGTGGTAGATTGGGGTGGGAGGTGGTAGGGGAGTGGGGGTGTGGGAGGTGGTAGAGAGTTGGGGAAGGGGGGGTGGGGTGGGAGTGGGGTGGGGTGGGGTGGGGTAGGGAGGTGGTAGGGGGTGGGGGAGAGGGGGAATTGGGGAGTAGAGGGGTGGGAGTAGGGAGGTGAAACAAGGTGTTAAATTTTCATTTCTTTTTCAAGTCCCAATAAAAAAAGTTTTGTAAAATATAGCACAAGGTGAGAGTAGTGGTTGATGGTGGTGGTGGTTAACTGTGGGTGGTGGTGGTGGTAATGGTAGTGATTGTAATGGTGGTAGTAGTAGTAGTAGTACTGGTGATAGTAGTAGTTGTGATAATGGTGATGGGAAGGGTGGTAGTATTAGTAGTGTTGGTAGTGGTAGTAGTGTTAGTAATAGTGGTGGTGGTGGTGGTGGTGGTGGTGGTGGTGGTGGTGGTGGTGAGGTGTGCCGGATCATAGGTACTCCACAATATCACACTTGATGGTAATGTTCGGGCATGAGCTCATGGTAAAGTCTCGGGCGTTGCCATGGTAGCCTCGGTGCCTCTCGCTCAACAGCTTCTGGAAGATGGGCAAGATGGAGGTGTCGTGGTCGAGGGCATTGTCTGACGCGTTCTTCCTGGCGGCGGCGATGGCGGCGGCCACGGAGGTGGTGGTGGCGTGGCGGTTGTGTGAGGACCTTCCTCTTAGTGAGTGCGTGCTGAACCCTCCCAGGGACGACGTGTCGTAGGCGTTGTCGTACGATGGTGTCCTAACGGGGGGTAATCGCGCTCTGTTACCTCTCAGCTGTTGCTGCTGCTGCTGGATCAGCTGTTCCTGCTGCTGTGCCTGCTGCTGTAGTCTCAGCAGGTGCCGCTGCTGGCCCGGGGAGTCATCGTCGTCATCGAAGTTGTAGTAGGGCTCACTGATGGTCCGGTGGAGGCTGGTGGGCTCTGGTGGACACAGACACACACGGTCAGTAGCGGGACAACACCTGAGTGGTACAGGTGAGTGGGCGGAGAGGCGCGTTAATTACAGGAGTCAACATGTGTGTGCTCAGTCAGCAACTCCCTCGCTTATTACCCACCTCTCTACCCACTCACCCACCTCTCTACCCACTCACCCACCTCTCTACCCACTAACCCACCTCTCTACCCACTAACCCACCTCTCTACCCACTAATCCACCTCTCTACCTACTAACCCACCTCTCTACCCACTAATCCACCTCTCTACCCACTAATCCACCTCTCTACCTACTAACCCACCTCTCTACCTACTAACCCACCTCTCTACCCACTAACCCACCTCTCTACCCACTAACCCACCTCTCCCTACCCCACTAACCCCTCTCTACTCACTAATCACCTCTCTGCCTGCTAACCCCACCTCTCACACACACTAACCCACCTCTCTACCCCACTAATCCACCTCTTCCCACTAATCCGCCTCCTCTGCCCACTAATTCACCCCTATCCTGCCCTCGCTTCCCACCCTCTCTACGCCCTTAATCACCTCTCTACCCCACTAACCACCTCTCTGCCCAATAACCCCACCATTTTTCACCCCAGTATTAGTAAGACCTCTTACCTGGGTGGTGAGGGAGGGGCGGCAGCCGTCACTGTGCTGGTATGGTCTGCACCTGATGTTCTCAACTGTGTGTGTTACCTAGAAGCGGACATGTATTTTGAGCTATACATACAATACGCACACACACACACACACACACACACACACACACACACACACACACACACACACATATTCTCTCTCTCTCTCACCTCTGTACACCTCGAGGCTCTGGACAAGGTTAAGATCATCAGAGGAGGCAGCAGACTCACTCAGCTCACCGTTCATGAAGCCAGCGTGGGCGTGGCTGTGTCCGCGGGCGTGGGGGAGAGTCTGCTGCGTCAGGGGAGCGTGGTTCCTCACCTGTGGGCGTGGTATAAAACAAGTATAAGACATGTTGAGAACGTGTTTAGTATCAAAGGTGAAGTGATGATAATAATAATAATAATAATAATAATAATAATAATAATAATAATAATAATAATAATAATAATAATAATAATAATAATAATAATAATAATAATAATAATAATAATAATGCACCAAAACACGAACCAATAACAAAATAATTCCATCCTTCAGTGTAATGACAATCGTGTCTTGATAATTAGTCAGGAATAATTTGAGTGGCAACAGCTCAACCATAGATAGCTCCTAATACAACTGTGGTAATAATTCCTTTCTCATTATGTGATGATTCAGAGCGATAATTGAATCGTGATAATTGATGTTGTGGATTCAATAATTTATGCAAAATCTCTTCTGTAATCAATAATACACAAAATTATTAGTAAAATCCTCGACAATTATTCATCCCTTTTTGAATCTGGATGATAATTGGATCGTAATAATTTGCATTGTTGGATGAATTATTGATGCAAAATTCACTTCAGTACGACCAATAATATACAGAATTATATAAATAAAACACGTACAATAATTTCTTCCTTTAATAATCGCGAGTCAGAGATAATTGGACCGTGATAATTCGTGTGTTGTGTCGCCAGATCTGATACTAATTCAATTATCATATTTAATACTTCGTCCGATCTGTGTGTGTGTGTGTGTGCGTGTGTGCGTGTGTGTGTGTGTGTGTGTGTGCGTGCGTGTGTGCGTGTGTGTTTTTTATCATAAGAGAGAACTAAGCGAGTAAAAAGTAGGGATTGGCTTCCTTATTTACAGTTGGTCAATACAACTCTTGTGTAGCTGGCAAACATGATGAGAGGGAGGGAGAGTGGGGAGTGGGAGGCAGTGTGAGGGGAGAGGGAGGCAGAGGGGAGAGGGAGGAGAGTGGGAGAGGGGAGGAAGAGTGGGGAGAGGGAGCCAGGGTGGGGGGAGAGAGGGAGGCAGAGTGGGGAGAGAGGGAAGCAGAGTGGGGTAGAGGGGGGAGGGAGGAGAGGGAGGCAGAGTGGCGAGGGTGATAAACACACACACACACACATACACACACACACGTGCACACACACACACACACACACACACACACACTAATCAAGTGGTAATCTCCCTCGTAACTTTTATCTCACCGATGACTAACATAACTTTTGTAACTGGTCTAGCTCATCAAAGTGATCTGATATTCGGAATATTGGCCGCGGATAACCCGATGGGCAGTACTGGGGGTGATCTGTGGGGTTAGCCGTGCGGGTGGAAGGACGGGGGGGATGGGGAGGGGGGCCGGTGGGAGGAAGAGGGATCCCGGAAGAGGGGGAGAGAAGTTGACGTAACAGGTGAATGGAAGAGAGTGACGGTAGAGTGACAGGAGGAGAAGACAGGAGGTACTGACCGTCTCCTTGCTGGAACACCGGGAGACAGCGGCGTCACTTCTGGCAGACGTTACACTGTAGATGCTGCCAGACACTGACCCTCGGCTACTCATAGTTCCCAAACTCTCCTGACTCGCTACTCGGTCCCTGGACGACACCTGCCGGGGTGAGGGAGAGAGAGAGAGACAAGGGTGAGAGGTGGGGAGAGACAGGTGGGTGACAGTGGGTGACGTGTGGGTGATAGTGGGTGACGTATGGGTGACAGTAAAGTGGGTAACGGTGGGTGACGTATGGGTGACATTAAGTGGGTGACAATGAGTGAAATTGGGGTGAAAGATGAGAGAGAGAGAGAGAGAGAGAAATGGGTAGGTAATGAAATTCCTCTCTAAAACATTGCGTCACATATCAGCTGAATCATGTTATGGTATTTAAAACACACACACACACACACACACACACACACACACACACACACACACACACACACACACACTTTGGTCTTATCTCTGAACATAAAGTTTGAGGAAAGTCTCTCAACGATAGTGGCTGAGACACAACTAGAAATGAAGTGAGAGATTCTGGTGCAAGTGAGAAATATCGCTGAGAGAGATAGTTATGGAGCTGAAATATGGAGACATCAGTGAGAGACATTCATAAAGATATCATTGGAGGAGATAATTGGAGATATCTCTGGTGCAGGGTTGGGAACAGTTGATGGCTGGAGATACTGGAAGAGATAAAGAGAAGCTGAGAGATAAGTCATACAGTTAAAGTTCTCAAAAATCACCAAGAGAGACAAGAGACACTTGGAGCTGAATTCTGGAGACATAACCGTAAGAGATAAGGTGAGACACACATTGCTGGGGGAGATATCACCGAGAGAGGACTTATAGAGACATCTGTTATCGAGAGACAGAGAGAGAGACACACACACACGATCTCACAAGGGCAGGGGAGAGACTGGACTTCGAGGCGACCCCTGTGTATACTGGACTTATATACATGACCTAAATACACAATTATACACCTAAATACGCAATTATACACCCAAATATACACCCGTAGACAGTAATACACCTCCCAGTCTAGTACACTCAACCTAGCATTTGCCTCTCTCGATCTAACTGATGGATGCTGTTTGTTGACGCGTGAGGGATATTTTTTTTCTCTCAGGGCGGTGTATGGCGAGTTATGATTGGTACTTGTTCATCCTAGGGTTTGTTCTTATTTTGGTGGTGATATTTTAATGGGGTGTCTGTCTGTCATCCTGTCTGTCTGTCTCTCTCCAAACATTTCTACTACGACAGCTGCTACAACCACCATCATAACCACAACTAAACCATCATCACAACCAACCACTATCCATCAACCACCACCATCAACTTTACTAACGAATAACAACCACAACAATAACCAATAACAACTATCAACGGTACACAATACAGAGTTATAGACAGATATATACAAAGGTGATGGTTGTTACTGAAGCCATGTTATAATAGTTCCGGGTATTGTTGTGTTTTAAGTGTTTTACAATAATTGGCAACCCGGACCTAGTATTACACACACACACACACACACACACACACACACACACACACACACACACACACACACAGAACGCCATTACATAGACAACAAAACCTCGAATTCATGCGAGTATTGAACTATGGGGTGGGTGGGGTGGGGTGGGGTATGAGTGTGGGGCGGTGGGGGTGGGGGGTGGGTGGGGTGGGTGGAGTGGGGTGGAGTGGGGTGGGGTGGGGTGGAGTGGGTGTACCTCGGCCGTGGTCCTCAAGAGTGCTGCGTCACGGCAAAATATCACCTTCGTTTATCTTATAAGAAAAACTCGTCAAAATGGTAATATATTCGCGAACTGAAGATACTACCCGGTGTATGTACTCTTATTGTTATTATTATTAGGTGTGTGTGTGTGTGTGTGTGTGTGTGTGTGTGTGTGGGCACCAGCGAGGACTCACCTGTCGATCAAGACTGTCCTGGCTGTCCGACCTCCTGGAGACGCCGTAACCGAAGCTGTCCTGGCTGGGGGAGTGTCGTCCCAGGATCTCGTGTGTGATCTGAGGCGGGGGCGTGGGCGTGGCGAGGGGCGTTGGGTCATCCAGCATGATCGTCGGAGACCTCGCCCTCATCTGCTCTAGGCTGTCCTGACTGGGTGACCGACGCGACACAACCTCGCCGAAACTGTCGCGTCGGAGGTGTGCGCGGGAGATGGTGCGCGTCCCGTCCCGCTCGTCAACAGTCTCCCACCGCGTCCGTCCACTACCACTCATCTCCCGCGGGTCAATGTCACTGTCCGTGGCGGCGTCAGAGGTGCTGTGGGAGGTGTGGTCGACGAGCAGGTCGTGAGGGAGCGGCACCTCACAGCAGGAACAAGCCAGGTCGTCACAAGATCTGTTGCGGGTGTGCATGGCACCTCGCCCGGGGGGTCTCGGGGGCTCGCTGCCCCTCCTCAGCACCGCAATGCTCCGCGTCACCTGCTGGTCCGCCTGCGGTCTGTACTGCGGCGGCAGCTGGTGCTGTGTGCCTCTGTACCCGACGGGTCCATCTCCTGATATGTTATAACCCGCCGCCAGGTTAGCCAGAGCGTTACTGTTCTTCTCAGCGAGCGTCTGGTAGTTGTTGTTGGCCTTGTTGTTGATGATCTTGATGTCGCTGTTCTTTTTGCCAACCATCAGCGGCAGCTTCTCCCCGCTGTCCTCATTGTTCAGCGGACTGTACAGGTTACGAGGCACTTGACTGTACTTGGGGGCGCTGTTCGTCTGGCGGAGACTCGTCCTCCTGTACGGGCAAATGTCCACGTGTGACACTGGGGGCTTTGTTACCCCCATTCCCATCGGAGGCTCCCCCAGGGGCCCCCCGCCGTACTCCTGCATGATAGGGGGCGGGGGCGCGTCCTCCAACGGGGGTCCAAGGTCCACCTCGTCGCGGCTGTACCTCCTGAGGCCCTGCAGGCTGGTCCTACTCGCTCGCCGTTGCTGCAGAATGTTCTGTTCCTTCTGCATCATGGCGCCGCCGTAGTCGTGGACGTAGACCCCGCCGTACCCACCGTACGCCGCGCCCTCACGCTCCAACATGGGCTCCTGCGGGAGACACACGACAGTCTCAGGTGGTGTTCCTCCACTACTGCTGCTCATTAACTAACCTTCCTCATAATCTTACCTTTGGTGACAATAACTGAAACAGCCTTAACTCACAGCTACCTGCACCCTCACTACCAGTACCACCCTCTACCACCACTACCTTCACCCCTCTACCACCATAACCTTCTACTACCACTACCTGCACCCATCTACCACTACTTCAAGTACTCTCTCTACCACCACTATCTTTACCTCGAACACCACTATCCTCTACCACCACTATCTTTACCTCGAACACCACTATCCTCTACCACCACTACCTGCCTATCTTACAAATTTTAATACCAGTCTATCCTTCAGCCATCTGTAGGAGAACACTTTCTCTCAGTCCCATTCAGACTCACATACATCCAGTCCATACCCCTAAAACACACACACACACACACACACACACACACACACACACACACACACACACACACACACGATAACACACACCTGGTAAGGGTTGCCAGGCAGGCCAGCAGGTGGCACCATGGGCTGTGACACAGGTGGAGGTCCTGGCATCTGTTGTGGAGCGTTCATGTGGAGGAGAGGGATCGCTTCCACCGTGGCAGGACACCCCCCTCCACCTCCTCCCTCCAGCCTGAAGGACACACTCTTGCTGACGTCACGAGGAGTTTGTAGGGGCGAGGCAAAGGTCACCCCGCGTCTGAGGTCACCAGGGGTCAAAAGTTAACTCTGGTTACTAGAGAAATTGTTTTAAGAAGGTCACGGTGGAGAGAAAATGACCAGGAGTGTCTGTCTCTGGGTCAAAGGTTAACTTACAGTGGCTGATATGAAGAGAATCTGATAATAGGTCAAAGGTCAGGATATATAGTATAAAAATCCTTATTATACAGGTCAGAGATTAGGTCTGGAAGATTGGGTTAAAGAGAAGGTTAATATTTGTTATCAAAGGTCATATACAGTAATACTTGGTTACTGGGGGTGGTGGGGGAGAACGGGGGTGGTGGTGGGGGGATGGGGTGAGGAGGGACGGTGGTGGGGGGAGGGGGGTGGTGGTGAGGATGATGGTGGAGGAATGGGAGAAAGGAGAGTGGTGAAAGAATGGGAGGGAGGGGAGGGATGGAGGGATGGGGATAAAGAGATGGTGGTAGAGGGTTAAGGGGAAGGTAACGTGAGGTAGAGGCCATTTTAACCCCAAAGGAAGAGTTAAAGGTAAACACACCAAGAAGACATTTAACAATATCTCATTATATGTATTAAAACACACAGAGTACAGTATATATCCATCCCTATAATGATCATCTACATTATACACTAATACTTACAACGTCACGTGGTGGGGGTCACTGTCTCATGCTCTTTGTAGTTAAGTTTATTTACCAACAATTACAAGAGACCTAAATGATAATGACACCTGTTGTTACCTCGCCAAGGTAAATGGTGGTGTCCCACTGTACATCAACTGCTGATAACACACTGATTATTATATCATTAAAACACCTGACTGAACTGACTTGCTGACTAGATTATCTAAAAACAAACACAACCAAATTGCTGACACTGACCAACGTGTAATAATATGCTGACATGTTTACCCTAAGAAATACCATATTGGCGACATTTACCACTACAGTACTGAGAGCTAGAGCTGACAACTAACTCTCACCCTGACAGAGTTTACTTACATCCATCATAAATTTATCTGTCTGGCTGAAACACGTGTCTTTACCCTGACAGTCTGAGTGATGGATTATATTCTGTTGTTGTGAGAGAAAATACACAGTGTCTCTACAAGGATCAGACATACAAAGTGGTTAAAGATACGGCCATTGGAAACATTATATACCAATTAGGTTAACATACCATGAACTGACGAGGACATTTACCATCTTAACTAAAGCTGGTTAATGTCCCGATGCCGCACCTTTAACCTCTACCTAGAAACACATTAAGGAGACATTTTTATCTAATTACAGGTGAGAGAATGTTTACCTACAGGTGAGAGAAGATTTACCTGTGAAGGAACATAAGGTGAGGTACTAACAGAGGGTAAAGTGCCGTGCAAATTAACAGATAACAGGTGCAAACAGGTGTAAGATGTGCAACAGGTGTGGCAGGTGTGACATACAGGTGTGGCAGGTGTGAAAAACAAGTGCAACAGGTGTGAGATGTGCGACAGGTGTGACAAACAGGTGCAATCAGGTTTGAGATGTGCAACAGGTGTGATGGGCGTAACAAACAGGTATGTCAAGTGGTGTGACAGCAGCAGGTGTGACAGGTGTTGCAGTGTGACGGTCATAGTTGTGGTTAATTAATAAAGACAGGTGTTACGTGTCATCATACAGTAGTGCAATGTTGGTAGAGATGGTGGTAGTGGTGGTAGTGGTGATGGTGGTAGTGGTGATGGTGGTAGTGGTGATGGTGCTTAATAGTATGAAGGTAGTGGTGATGATACAGGTAGTGGTGATGGTGCCTGGTGGTGATGGTGGTAGTGGTGATGGTGCTTAATAGTATGAAGGTGGTGGTGATGATACAGGTAGTGGTGATGGTGTCTGGTGGTGATGGTGATAATAAAGGCAATATTACTTACATACCGTTCTTCCTTATCTTTGTGGGTTTGTTACTATTTATGTCATTATATACACATAGCTGGTAGTGATGGTGATGGTGGTGATGATGGTAATGGTGGTGATGGTAATGATGATGGTTATAGGGGTAGTGGTGATGATGGTGATGGTGGTGATGGTGATGATGGTAATGATGATGGTTATAGGGGTAGTGGTGATGGTGGTGGTGATGATGATGGTAATGGTGATGATGGTAATGATGATGGTTATAGGGGTAGTGGTGATGGTGGTGGTGGTGATGATGGTAATGGTGGTAATGATGATGGTTATAGGGGTAGTGGTGATGATGATGATGGTGATGTTAAGGGCAATGTAAAGAGAAAAGCAATTGTGTACAGAACATTAAATGATGATGAAAGTGATTCAATGTTGAAGGAATGTGTATGAGTGTTCAGGAATGTTGGAGAAATGTATAGGAATGTGTATTATGTATATCAGTGTTGAAGGGATGTGTATGAATGTGTATGATCCTGTGTCTCACTATAATATACAGATAAGTTATTTATACTAGTTCTTGGTATAGTATTGATGTATACAGCATTAATGGTGGAGTGAATGATGAAGAACGATGAATAATTCAGCTGTTTGTTATAGTAAGTTAGTGATGAATTATAAGATATATAATAATGTATATAACTAGTGTATGTAGAACAATATAGGAGGACAAGCAGAAGTAAAGTAACATAGAAAACGAGAAGAGGACAAACAGAAGTAACATAGAAAACGAGAAGAGGCCAAACAGAAGTAACATAGAAAACGAGAAGAGGCCAAACAGAAGTAACATAGAAAACGAGAAGAGGACAAACAGAAGTAACATAGAAAACAGAAGTAACAGAAAACGGGAAGAGGCCAAACAGAAGTAACATAGAAAACGAGAAGAGGACAGAGATAAATTAACAAAGAAAACGGGAAGAGGTCCAGGATGGAGGGGGGGAGGGCATTTATAATTTAATAATATTCGAGAATAGATTTAAATTGGCATACCAATATTTACATAATTAACAGAAATAAAAAAGACAAAGGCATTTAATTATTTTGGTGTTATTTAGTAATTGGTGAAAGGAGATTTATCTGTAATTTAAAGTGATAGACATTGACCTTTTAAAGCTTTATGGAGTTAAATATTTAGAGGAAAATGAAGGGATATTTAATTCATTATGTTAACTAAGACGAAATAAACTTGGCTAAATGGAGGAGGAAGGAAATAATCGGATTATTATTATTAACCCATGACAGTCTTCACTAAATACCATTGTCAAGGGATAACAACCTGGTTCACCTTAACAACTTTTTAAAGGAACGACAAAACACCAAAAAAAAGTTATAAAGTTATCATACGAAATTGATTAAAATAAAAGAGTAAAAGAACATTGTAGAGTTGTTTTAAGTTGAGGTTATTGAAACTATAGATCTGTTAGTCATACACAGATAAACAAACGCTACAGGCTATGTGATGTATGTATGTGGTGTAATGGTCAGCATGCTCGTTTCAAAATCGAGCTGACCCAGGTTCGATCCTCGGGCAGGGTCAAGCTTCTCTGCAGTTGGCGAGTTGTCCGGCCTTCTCGGACTATTCCTTGACACTGGGTCATGCAACTCGTTAACCTGGGGTGTGGTTGTTGTGTTAGGGACAGCTTCTACACCATTATGTATGTTTGTATGTACTGCTCCTAAACTAAAACACCAAACAAATAAACAAACACCGAGGAGCGGGATAAACTGACTACAAACAAAACAAACAAACACAAGTCTACAGCCACCACGTGTGAATGATATACGTGTAAACAAAGAAATAAACAAGGACAAACAAGAACCTGTAGACAACAAGAGAGACAGACAGACAGAGATGAACAAGAAGAATAAAAGATGGAAGAGAAATAATAAAAAATACAGATGAAATAAACTAAAACTAGAGAAAATAAATAAAATTGAAATAAACTTGTAAAATTGTAATAAGAAAAAGAGGAATAAAGAGGAAGAACTGGGAGACATGATGAGAGAGATACACAGATAAAGAAAGATAGATAAGAGAGAGACAGAGAGAGGAGACAGTGGAGCAGAACTGACCGGGATGCAGCTCGGTCTAATGAGAGACAGGCGGACACCACCCCTGTAGCAGGCAGGTGGTGCTGGTGGTGATGGTAGTGGTGGAGGTGGTGGTGGTGGTGTTGTTGGAGATGGTGAGTGGTGGTGGTGGAGGTGGTGGTGGTGGAGAGGGAGGAAGGCACGGGCGACACACCACTACGGCCAGGTACGTACTCGGCCTCCTGTGACGTCCCCGAACACAGGGAGGTCAGCTCGGTCGCCTCCGTCGTCTCAGTCACCGAAGGACCTGTGTGAGAGAGGCGGGGGCCGGCAGGTCCCCAGGGGAGGTGCCCGTCAGTGATCACTTCTGTAACGTATCCTGCCTCTACTGACCTAACTGATGGAGGCACGTGAGGGGTATAACCTGAGTGATGGAGGGACGTGAGGGGTATAACCTGAGTGGTGGAGGGACGTGAGGGGTATAACCTGAGTGGTGGAGGGACGTGAGGGGTATAACCTGAGTGGTGGAGGCACGTGAGGGGTATAACCTGAGTGGTGGAGGGACGTGAGGGGTATAACGTGACTGGTAGAGGGAAGTGAGGGATATCTTTCCTATACTGAATCCCGCCAGTGCCCGTCCTTCCTGACCTGACTGCTAGATGACTTGAAAGGGAACGAAGGGGGTGGATGATGATGGAGGTTAACGATATAGAAGCTTACAAGGGGTTGGGAGGACGTGTTGTGGAGGCGGGGGACGAGAGCTGCCTGTAGGAGGGAGAGTCAAGAGTTAGTGACACACCTTCAGTATCCTGGACCAATGGTGCCTTGGTGACGTACACACACACACACACACACACACACACACACACGTATACGTACACACACACACACGTACACACATACACACACACACAGACACACACACACACACAGACACACACACACAGACACACACACGTACACAAACTGAGATGTACAAACTGTTCTTCATGGTTGAGCTGAGTACATACTTACTGGCTGGAGGCACAGAGTTTCTTCCTTCAAATGAGAACACTCGTAAGCTGGTACACTCACTCACTCACTCACTCACTCACTCTCCCTCACCCTCACTCTCCCTCACTCTCATTCTCCCTCCCTCTCCCTCACCGACGCCAACTTTCTCTCACCTTCACTTATCCTCCCTCCCTTTCACTCTCCCTCACCCTCACTCTCCCTCACTCTCCCTCACTCTCACTCTCCCTCACCTTCTATCCTCAGCCTCTCTATGGACCTGGGCTTGGAGGGCCGCCGAGTGCTTCTGTTGTGGTCATGACCTTCCATCTCCACCATCGCCTCCTCCCCCAGTTGGTCTATCAACAGCTACAGGAGAGAGAGAGAGATAGTGTTAGAGAAAGTGAGAGACAATATGAGAGAATTAGAGAGAGATAAGAGACAATATGAGAGAATTAGAGGGAGATATAGAACAGTTCTCTACAACAGTTCCATACAGCTCTCCCCATGAACCACGAGATAATGACTCGCGAAACCGAAGCACAATGTATCAGTCTATGGCTTCGGATTCACGAGTCTAAATGACGGGGTTCGTGGTTCAGTGGGCGAGGCGGACGGGACCTTTCTATTACTACTAACAATATGGAACTTGGTGATAATAATTGATGTCTTCTTGGGTGGGGATTCAAACTCAGGGATTTACATCTGTCTACCTCACCTGTACATCTGTCTACTTCACCTGTACATTTGTCTACCTCACCTGTACATCTGTCTACCTCACCTGTACATCTGTCTACCTCACCTGTACATCTGTCTACCTCACCTGTACATCTGTCTACTTCACCTGTACATCTGTCTACCTCACCTGTACATCTGTCTACCTCACCTGTACATCTGTCTACCTCACCTGTACATCTGTCTACTTCACCTGTACATCTGTCTACCTCACCTGTACATCTGTCTACTTCACCTGTACATCTGTCTACCTCACCTGTACATCTGTCTACCTCACCTGTACATCTGTCTACCTCACCTGTACATCTGTCTACCTCACCTGTACATCTGTCTACCTCACCTGTACATCTGTCTATCTCACCTGTACATCTGTCTACCTCACCTGTACACCTGTCTACCTCACCTGTACTTCTCTCTCTCTCACCTGTAGCTCTTGTTCTCGTTCTCTTAGCCTCCTCATGAAGACCTGCCTATCGCTCTCCGCTTTCTTGATCTGGTCGTGAAGGTCAGACATTTCTGAGTCACTGTCGGGATTCTTGGGAGGCTTAAGAGTTGACCGTACGATACGTTTATCGATGGTTCCCTGTGGGTTACGTCGTAGCTCCAGCATCTGTGAGGGAGAGAGAGGGAGAGTGAGTCAGGGTGAGGGTGAGTAAGGGAGGGAGAGTGAGTCAGTGTGAGGGTGAGTAAGAGGAGGGAGGGAGGGAGGGGGAAGAGAAAGTTAGTGTGGGTGGGGAAGTGTGTGGGAGTGTGTGGGAGTGTGTGGGAGTGTGTTGAAGTGGGAGAGTGAGAGAAAGTTTAGGGTTGGTGTCTGTGGGTTGGTTAGTAGCTGTAACATCTGAGAGAGAGAGAGAGAGAGAGAGAGAGAGAGAGAGAGAGAGAGAGAGAGAGAAGATGAACATAAACAAAAACGAAATAAAAAAGATAAAAAAAAAAACGCAAAAATTCCCCCCAAATTAAAACACCGCCAAACCGGTGAACATTAATTAAAAACACCAACACAGGAATACAGACTGTGACAAACAAACACTACGGACACCACTACTAAGGCCTCTTACACCTGATGGGCCGCGTGGGACAGTGTGTATGGTTAGGTTAGGTTAGGTACAGTCCCCCCCCCTTAACAGCTGGGACGATTTGGAGGAGTGTCCCAGGATGGAACGAGAGACCCTTAGGAAATGAGACGAGGGCTGTGTCCACTCGGCCACTGCACCCTTAAAGCACACACACACACACACACACACACGTAAAAGTGCGACACAAGCTCCTGTTTCTGGTGCCGTGAGCTGTGCGGCGGTCGTGCTCGTACGTGCGTGAAGGAGGTGATGAAATAGTTGCTGTTTCCTCGTCTGCTGCTGCTGTGACTGCTGCTGTGACTGCTGCTATGCGAGGGTCATGGTTTTACGTGCGTGAGGGAGGTGAAGTAGCCGTTGTTGGTGTGGGCTGCGTGAGGGACGTGTGTTGACGTGCGTGAGGGGGTCGTGTTGCATACGTGGCTGCCAAGGACAAGACGCCCCAGTGAGAGAGAGAGAGAGAGAGAGAGAGAGAGAGAGAGAGATGAATGAACATTACTTACAGAACTCTCTTGATAAATTATGAACAAGATTATTATTCACTCTCTTGATGAATAACGCACAAGGCTTTATATAATGATGTTAATGTGTGTGATCATTGTACATTATTCATGACCAAAACATCACATGAGACTCAACTTCCGGCCGGTGGGAGACAGTGCTGGGAGCGTCTAGTAAGATGAGGGGAAAAGGAAAATGGATTTTTTTTCTCTTTTCTCTTCTTTATATAAAATTGTGAACGAGTTGCGTAAGAACTTGTGAGGAGGAGGAGGAGAGGAGAGGGGGAGAGGAGGAAGAGCGGGAGAGGGGGAGGAGGAGGAAGAGCGGGAGAGGGGGAGGAGGAGGAAGAGCGGGAGAGGAGGACAAGGACGAAGAGAAGAGGAGAAGAAGAACAACAACAACGAGGAGGAGGAGACGAAAAGTACAGATGATTAAAAAAAAATGTCAGAAATATATTATCAAAGACAGACTGTGGTACAACCTTGTCCCCTGAGAGAGAGAGAGAGAGAGAGAGAGAGATACTTGTCTCTTTGTGTCTCGCTCCTTCTTCTTGAGAGATGGAGAAGGTGAGAGATATTACACGAGATACTGGATTAAACGAAGGGAACGACTCCATGTGAGAGACTTGAGACACATTAGAGAGACTTTGAGAGATGAGTTAGGAAGAATAGTTTTATGTCTCTCTCTTTCTCTTTCGTTTTTTCTCTCTTCCTTTTTCTCTCCAGTTCTCTTTTCTTTGGAGATGAAGAACGAGAGAGCCCCTCAGCAAGCCACGTGAAGCCCTGAAGGAGGCGGTGAAGGCGGGGAGACAGATTTTCGTCCTCGCCTCACCACCAGATGATGAAGAAGGTAATGGCTGGAGAGAGAGAGAGAGAGAGAGAGAGAGAGAGAGAGAGAGAGAGAGAGAGAGAGAGAGCAGGACCACGGTAAGAATATATCCATCGTTATCTAAGCTCAGGTCTCCCGTCCACACTACTTTCAATTCATGAGAATCCTTGTAAAGTTTTGGCTGTGAGAGAGACCGTTCCCAAACCTCCCCTGACACACACACACACACTGATTCATACACACCCTGCCTCACTTACACATCTTGACACACACACACACACACACACTGATTCATACACACCCTGCCTCACTTACACATCTTGACACACACACACACACACACACACACACCCTGATTCACACACCCTGTCTCACACACCCTGCTTCACACCTCACACACACCCTGTTTCACACACACCCTGCCTCACATTGTTCCTGAGCACACACACACACACATTAAGGTCCAGGTAGCGTGTCCCAGTTTTCTCTGGTCGAGTAAGTGAGTTACGACCAACCCGGCCATTACAAACCTGAAGTTCTGGTCGTGTCGATGATGCTGTCCCAACCTGTTATGTGTGTGTGTGTGTGTGTGTGTGTGTGTGGGTCAATGTTTCAACCCCTTACTTCACTTAATATAACTCTACCCCTCCCCTTCACCCATCTAAGTGTAAACAACTGTAAATACGAGTAAATACCAGACCGTAAGCAAGGGTAAATGTGTAAATATATGTGTAAATAGAGATGTATCGTAAATATAAATATCTGTATGTAATGTGTGTGTGTAAATATCTGAGTAAATATTTGTGTTGACATCCAAGAGGTGGCTCTGGTCCTGGGTGTATTAGAGAGAGAGAGAGAGAGAGAGAGAGAGAGAGAGAGAGAGAGAGAGAGAGAGAGAGAGAGAGAGAGGACAGGTGTTAGGTTTAATTAGTGTCGCGTTCTGAAATTCATCTCTGATGTTTTGAAATTGGGGTTCAAGTCTCTCTCTCTCTCTCTCTCTCTCTCAAGTGTCTCGCCATTGTGTACACAATGTTTTATTTATGAACCAGATATAATTAAGAGTACAGTGTTCCTACCTACCTAGTGAGGGAGAAGAGGGAGGGAGAGGCTGGAGAGTAGAAAGAGGGAGAGAAGGAGGTTGAAGACTGTGAAGAAGAGATGGAAAAAGGGGAAGAAAAAAGAGAGGCTGAGGACTGGGAGAGAGGAATGAAACTGGGAGATGGAGAGAGAGCGATAAAGGGAGGGAAAGAAAGGAGGGAAGTAAGAAAGTGAAGGAAGGAGAGGAGGGAAGTGACAAAGGGGGGAGGAGAGGTAGAGAGAGAGAGAGAGAGATAGAGAGGAAGAGAGAGAGAGAGAGAGGGGGGAGGTAAATGGTACGAACACTTATATTAATACTGGCACTACGAATGGCACTTTATGACCACACTTTACGTTTAACTTTATTCAGACACTTTACACGAGCACTTCATCAGTCTTCCTACAGTACATGAACACTTATCCATTTAACCACAAAGGAAGTGTAGACGGCACTCGACCCCCCCTCATTACTCTCCTTACCTGGATAATTAGGTTACTCAGTGGGGTGTGATGTGGGTGCGAACCAGTGACCCTTAGGACGGGAGGCGAGTACTGTAACCACCCAGCCATCACAGCCCTTAATTTACACTTTACAGACAACTTATTCAATCCTCTTTTTTTGCCACACTTTACAGACACACTTAACACTTACCACCTACTTTTACCACACTTTACACACACACTTAACACATTACCACCTACTTTTACCACACTAAACACATAACACTTAACTTTCACCACACTTAACACTTAAAACAACCTCATCCAACACTTACTTTAGGGACGAAGACGAGACAGAGAGTACCGGTGGTGCAGAAGATGATGAACACTGAGATAATGAGGTACGAGGCGTCCTGTTCATCACTCAGGATATAGGAGATAGGGACGCCGATAATGCACATGATCACCACATTGTACACGCTCATGCCGATGTACTTGGAGTCATTGAGTGCAGGGATGCTTACTAATCGAGTCTCCCACGCCAGGAAACAACCGAACACCTGTAAGAGAGGAGGTTAGTGGTTAATATGAGGTTAAGATGGAGGTCAGAGGTTAATAGGATGTTAAGAAGAGGTAAGTGGTTAATATGAGGTTAAGATGGAGGTCAGAGGTTAATGGGTTAGACATCAAGAGGAGGTCCCACGTCAGGAAGTGTGATGGTAAGGTTATGAGGAGGTGAGAGGTCAGGAAGTGAGAGGTCCAAGGTTATCAAGAAGTGAAAGGTGAGAGGTTAAGGGGTTAGGTAAAAGGTCAGAGGTCAGCAAGTGAGAGGTCAAAGATAAGAGCTGTGGCTAGAGGCTTGTAAAAAAAAAGGTCGACTTTATTCCTGTGTTACGTAAGTCAGCCCTTGCGCCGCCCACACCTGTTGTTAGAGGTCAGAGAGGTCGGGGGGGATCTGACTCTTATGGTGTGTGTGAGGAGAGAAATTGACGTAAGGTGAGTGAGAGGAGAGGTGGAAGGTGAGAGGGTGGAAGGTGAGAGGGTGGAAGGTGAGAGGGTGGGAAGGTGAGAGAGTGGAAGGTGAAAGGTGGAAGGTGAGGGGGGGTGGAAGGTGAGAGGGTGGAAGGTGAGAGGGTGGAAGGTGAGAGGGAGGAAGGTGTGAAGTGAGGAAGGTGAGAGGGAGGAAGGTGAGAGTGAGAGGTCTGGGTGGTATGAAGAACCCACAGAATAGGTAAAATGAGAGGGTGAGAGGGTGGGCGAGTGGGATGTGTGGGCAGGGTGGGTTAGCAGGGTGGGTTAGCAGGGTGGGCAGGGTGTGTGGGCAGGGTGGGTCGGTCACGATAACTTGTTTGGGTGAATAACAACAACAACAGCTTGATGATGTAAAGGTCAGGTGTGTGCGTGTGTGTGTGTGTGTGTGTGTGTGTGTGTGTGTGTGTGTTTGTAGCTGTATCACCTTTAGCTACAAAACGAAGAGCCGTAGAGAGAGAGAGAGAGAGAGAGAGAGAGAGAGAGAGAGAGAGAGAGAGAGCGCCAGGTGACACACACAGGTATTGAGCTGGGTGCAGTGTACTGATGACCAGAACGTCGAGCTAATTGACTCATCATTCAAGCGCTTCCCGACCTCACCTGACTGACCCTTGATGCTGCTGTTATTGATGCTGTTATTGATGTTGATTATTGTTATTGATGTTATTATTCCTGTTATTGGTGCTGTTATTGATGCTGATGTTATTTTTATTGTTGTTATTGGTGCTGTTATGACTGTTGGTAGTGTTATTGCTGTTATTTTTGGTGTTATTTCCGTTGTTATTGTTCTTGTTGCTGATATAAATCTTTAAATAACCTATAAAAGTAATAAAAATTAATAAAAATACTCCAAAATAACAATAAAAACGTGGCCAAAATATTACAACTGTCCATCATAATATCAGTAATAGATTCAAGTACCAAAGTTGATAATAAAACATAACATAAAACTTACACTAAACTTTTCACATCTTATAATGAAACCCAAAATATAAAAGTATAATGCTAATAAAACTTTAACAAAATTACCCAAAATATCACGTCCCAAATACGCTCTTAATAACACCATCACTTTAAGTTATCATAAAAATCTCTCGTATATTATGTAAAGGGAGTTCATATGTTCTCCGTTTTCTTTAATGCTTTTTTGAGGGAAATTTTCTTTCTTTTTTATGGGGAAACTATTGTAGATTTGATGGTCGTTTTTATGATGGTTCTCTTGAGGTAAAATTTCTGGGATTTTGGGGTTTTTGATTGAGTGAGTGTGTCTGTTGATGGTGAGTGTGTGGAGAGTGAGTGTGTGAGGTGATAGTGAGTGTGTTAGTGTGGCTACTACCCCCTACCCCTACCCACCCCCCCTCCACAGACAGAGTGAACTAGAATTAGATCAGAAGAGTTGGCGGCTCTCTCTCTCTCTCTCTCTCTCTCTCTCATGTGTTGATTTATTCATCTCCTCAATCAGTGAATTATTATTATTCAATTTATTCATTTATTCCATCATTCATTTATATATTCAATTTATTCATTGACTTAGGTATCCCCACATTATTGTTCATTCACCTTCACTATAGTGAAGAGTGTGTGGAGAGTGCGTTACTAGGGTGTAGGGGGAAAGTTTGTTACCAAGGTGTGTAGGGAGAGTGCGTTACTAGGGTGTGTGGGGAGAGTGTGTTACTAGGATGTGTGGATAGAGTGTATTACTAGGGTGTGTGGATAGAGTGTATTACTAGGGTGTGTGGATAGAGTGTATTACTAGGATGTGTGGATAGAGTGTATTACTAGGATGTGTGGATAGAGTGTATTACTAGGGTGAGTGTGTTACACACACACACACGATGCATAACACCTTCTTTATTATTCTGTTTATTCCTTCTTTTCGTTCATTCTCCTCCCCCCTTCCTTTCCCTTCTCACTCCCCATTCCCCCCTTACTGTCCCTCTCCCACCCTCACCTTCACTTTCCCATACACTCACCCCCAATACACTCACTTCCTCACCTTCACTCCCTCTCACCCACACTCACCCTCTCATCCACACTCACCCTCTAACCTACACTCACTCTCACCTACACTCACTCTCACCCACACTCACCCTCTCACCTTCACTCCCTCTCACCCACACTCACCCTCTCACCTTCATTCCCTCTCACCCACACTCACCCTCTCACCCACACTCACCCTCTCACCTACACTCACCCACACTCACCCTCTCATCTCCACTCACTCTCCTTCACTCTCCCAGACAGAAGCAGCATCTCAGCCAGGTGTTAGAGTTGACCATTAACTTGACACAATAACGGACCTTCCACACATTAAGTTAATGTTCCTTGCCCTAGACATGCCGGGGGGGGTAACACCCTTCTGCTGTGGGAGTGTGTGTGAGGAGAGGAGGTGTGAGTCAGAGAGTGTGTGGAGAGAGGGTGTGGAGTCAGGGAGTGTGTGTGTGTGAGAGGGTGTGTGAGTCAGGGAGTGTGTGAGAGAGGGTGTGTGAGTCAGGGAGTGTGTGAGAGAGGGTGTGTGAGTCAGGGAGTGTGTGAGAGAGGGTGTGAAGATGAGAAAGTGTGTGAAGATGAAGTAGTGTATGTGTCAAAGGCTGCGTGAAAGGGTGTGAAAGTGTGTATGAAGGAGAGAGAGAGAGAGAAGGAATATGAATAAAGTTAAATAGGGTTATAATGGTGATGTGGCAACACTGACTGAGGCAGCACCACACACTCCTACAAAACATTAATACCAACATTTATCACAGTCAAAGGTTCTCCTCTACGTCACGGTGGCTAGGTTAGGTTTGGTTATTTTAGGTTAGGAGACTTGCTGCTAATTGGCTTGTGGTATGTAAACTACCCGGTGTTGTCCTGGTGAAAATAAAAGCCCCCCCTCAAGGATAAACACATAAATATAGCGTAAATAAGTGTAGAAGAAACCCAAAAAGAAAATTCCGTACTTAAAATATAATGATATAATTTTCATGGGTAATTAAATGAGGTAATAACGATAATAATACCTGGCAACTATTCATCTCTTGTTGACATTAAGCTCGACGTTGATTGGCCAGCTGCGTGTTTACCCCTGAGTGTTGCCACCTCCGGGAAAAAACTGCAGAGGCGTAAATCAGGAACTAACGAAAAAAGTGGACATTATTTACCTTGTGCATCATTCGCTACTTGACACAGGCGGGGCGGGGCGGGGCGGGGCGGGGCGGGGGTGTTATTATGTGTCCTCTGAGGCTGTGTCGTGAGTCAGTGCTTTTAGGAGTATTAAACAAGACCAAATGAAAAACAAAATCTAATTGTAAAAAAAAAAATAATAAAAAAATCAGACAAAACATCACTGTGGCACCTTGTGTGTGTGTATGTGCGTGTGTGTGTGTGTGTGGCGTGTGTGTGTACGTGTGTGTGTGTGTGTGTGTGTGTGTGTGTGTGTGTGTGTGTGCGTGTGTGTGGAGGTAATAGTGGAGGAATGGTGGTGAGGAGGAGAAAGAGAGAGAGTACGGGAATAACAAGAGAAGAAGCATAGGTCCGATAACTGTGGGAGAGAGGAAGACCATCATCCCCACACACAGGTAACAGCTTCACCTTCAACTAGTAATATTAATTAACCATCAAGCCCCAGACAGGTAACACAGGTACTCACCATCAGGAGGCCCTTGTAGGCGTATATACAGCCGACGAACACCGAGATTTTCTGACTCTTGCAGTACTCGTTCTCAGGGATGACCAAGATGTCTCCTCTCATCTGTGGGGCAAACGTGTCTATGTTATTCCTGATCAACCTGTGTGTGTGTGTGTGTGTGTGTGTGTGTGTGTGTGTGTGTGTTGCTTCTGTTTTTTATTATTATTATTATTATTATTATTATTATTTACCGTGTACACCAACTAAACAAAATCTCTATAAAACACCTCACATACAAAAGCAACAAACACACAAACATATCATTAAGTATACAGGTAGTTATTAATTAAAACCTAAATTACAGGTAAATACAGTAATTACAGAGGTGACTTACGTTTTCTATATAAAGGGAGACTTAACTATTACCCTACACTACCATCTTCTATATAAGGGGGGAGGGGGGGCTTAATCACCTGGTCTACGTGTGGTAATTAAGGGTGATTTTATCGTCTTTTCATGCGGACCAGAGACTCGTAATTACCGTGGATCATTAAGGACTAATACGGTGGATGAGGGACGTTAATTACCCAGGGAAAATACTGTTTACTGGGGTGATAAAGAGACGTTCATGGGGAGGGAGGGAAGGAGGGAGAGGTGGAGGGGTGGAGAGAGAGGGTATGGGGGAAGAGTGAGGGGTGAGAGAGAGGCAAGAGGAGGTGAGAGAGGGCAAGGAAGAGCAGAGGTGGAGAGAGAGGGTATGGGGGGAGAGGTGGGGAGGGGTGAGAGAGAGGGTGATGGGGGAGAGGTGGGAGGGGTGAGAGAGAGGGTATGGGGGGAAGAGTGGGAGGGTGAGAGAGAGGGTATGGGGGGAGAAGTGGGAGGAAGGGATATTATTTAGTGACTATGTGCTTCTGAAGAAATGGGGAGTGGGCGGGGAGGAGGGAGTGGGTGAGGGGAGAGGGAAGGTGGGCTATGGGAAAAGGGGATAGTGGGAGAATGGGTGGAGGTGAGGGAATGTTGAGGTGGAGGGGTGTGAGAGGGATGGAGGGAAGGGGAAGAAGGTGGGAGGGTGTTGGTGGGAGGGTGAGGAAAAGGAGGAGGAGGAGGAGGAGGACAGTAAGAGTGAGAATCGGAAGGAGGAGGTAAGGATCCACATATGATGCCACTTCCGTATTCACTTGAAGGAAGGAAGGAAGGAAGGAAGGAAGGAAGGAAGGAAGGAAAGGGGTCAGTACTAACGTCGAGCCTCAGTTTATTGGTCTATACGAGGAGCCGAGGACCTGCCTGAAGGAGAGAGAGAGAGAGAGAGAGAGAGAGAGAGAGAGAGAGAGTACTCACATAGGGCGTCAGTTTCTTGGTCTCCCGGTAGAAGGGGTCAACTATCTGCCAGGTGGTCATGATGGCCACGTCAACACACAGCAACACGAACACCACCAGGAAGAGCTGTGAGTCCTTGATTACCTGTAGGAGGAGGAGGTAATTATCTGTCCTTGATTACCTGTAGGGAGGAGGGAGGAGAGTAGTATCTGTCCGCCTATGATTACCTGTGGGAGGAGGAGGAGGTAATTATCTGTCATGATTACCTGTAGGAGGAGGGAGAGTGAGGTATCTGTCAGTGCCTGTAGGAGGAGGAGGTAATTATCTGTCCTTGATTACCTGTAGGAGGAGGAGGAGGTAATTATCTGTCCATGATTACCTGTAGGAGGAGGAGGAGGTAATTATCTGTCCTTGATTACCTGTAGGAGGAGGAGGAGGAGGTAATGATAGTACACCTGTCCTTGATCACCTGTAATGGGAAAATCAACTAACACCTGTCATTTTTTATGGCAATCTTTGCAAACAGGTGTCGAGCATCTTTAAGTGGAAGAAAAAGTAACTTAAGAAGGATTATAAGTAGGAGAATGAAATAAAAACACCTGTCACTTACGAGAGAGAGAGAGAGAGAGAGAGAGAGAGAGGAACGGGAAGACTGTGTGATAGGGAGAAGTAATGAAGATAGGAAAAGGTGGAAGAGGAGAATAAATGGGATGGAAGAAAGAAAGGGGGAAAAGGTGGAAACGAAATGGATTGATAACGTTGATTGAAGGAGAGAGAGAAATAGGGGTGGAAGGGAAGAGGTAGGTAAGCAATTAAGACCGAGCAGGTGTGAAAGGAGAGAGAGACACTGGCCAACCTTTGATGTTTAATAACTTAGTCATGTACATATATACAACCAATTATCGGAGGCGTCTATCTAATACACTGACTCCACGCCGTCTATATCGACCGACTCTCACACGTCATAGAAAACGTAATGATGATAAACAAACCCAGATTCTCACTGATTCTTGAGGTATTTTGTGTATTCTTTTAACCTAACCTAACCTAACCTAACCTACCCATGAACGATAAGTAACCTTGGAATAAGTATTAAGTGACATTAACAAAGTAAGTGATCACGACACACACACACACACACACACACACACACACACACACACACACACAGTAAAGCAAAGCAAAAAAAAATTAAAAAAATAAATAAATAAAACTTGTTGAGGAATATTTACGACTAGGTGACCTCTTGGTCCCTGAGAGAGAGAGCGTAAACACCCATCACTAAATTGGTCCAACACGACAAATGCATCAGGCTTCATTAGTCAAATGGTCCGGGAAATGGAACATCGGCTCTCATCATCGCACACTTAACAGGCATCGGATTAGACGTAATATGGATGGAGTGCCGATTTCAATTACGCGAATCAGCCGTCGTCCGTAGTTTCTGCCCGATGCTGCCAAGGACGGACGGATGGATGGATGGGTGGGTGGATGGGTGGGTGCGTTGGATGGGTGGGTGGGTGGAAGAGGAGGAGAGGAGGGGGGATGAGGAGAATGGGGATGATATGTTTGTTTTGGTTCAGTAAGAAAACAGAATTATTAGGAGTTGGAGAATGTGTGTTGGAGGTGGTGAAGTAGTGGTGAGAGTGAGGTGGTGGTGGTGGTGGTGAGGTGGTAGTGGTGGTGTGGTAGTGAAAGGTGGTGGTGGTGGTGGTAGGTGGTGGTAGTGGTGGTGGTGGTGAGTGAATTGGTGGTAGTGGTGGTGAGTGGTGGTGGTAGCAGTGGTGGTAGTAGTGGTGGTAGTAGTGGTGGTAGTGGTGGTGGTAGTGGTGGTAGGTGGTGGTAGTAGTGGTGGTAGTAGTGGTGGTAGATGAAGGCAATAGTGGTAGGTAATGTTGGTGCTGGTAGATGTTCAAAGGGAAAGCTTATCTAGATTTTCAAAGGGACGAGTTTGCTAACCGAAAATACTGACCTAATCTGATCTGACCTAACTTAAACTGACCTAATCTGATCTGACCTAACTTAAACTGACCTAATCTGAAATGACCTAACTTAAACTGACCTAATCTGACCGATCATAACCTTACCTAACTAATGTATACTGACCTAACATAAACTAACCTAACCTGACGTCACTTTACTTCACCTGACTTCACCTGATCTACCACCTGACTTCATCTGATCTCCCACCTGACTTCACCTGACTTCACCTCATCTCCCACCTGGCTTCACCTGACTTCATCTGATCTCCCACCTGACTTCACCTGACTTCACCTCATCTCCCACCTGACTTCACCTCATCTCCCACCTGACTTCACCTCATCTCCCACCTGACTTCACCTCATCTCCCACACAACCACCTCCATCCTCCCACCCACAACTACCTGACCTGACTTAAGCTTCAACAGATTCAAACACTTGAGCAAGGTTAAGCCTGCAGCACTGGGGGGAGAGACATCCTTGAGATGAGTGCGTCTGGACACTCTTGAGCAGGTCCCTCCACCATCAGAGCCGACGTGTATTGGAGGACAGGGAGGCCAGCCAGGCGTGTAGAGGGAGACGAGGAGGCCGGTAATGACGTGTAGAGGGGACGAGGAGGCCGGTAATGACGTGTAGAGGGAGACAAGGAGGCCGGTGATGACGTGTTGAGGGAGACGAGGAGGCCAGACGACGTGTAGAGGGAGACGAGGAGGCCGGTGATGACGTGTAGAGGGAGACGATGAGGCCATCCGACGTGTAGAGGGAGGCGAGGAGGCCGGCAATGACGTGTAGAGGGAGACGAGGAGGCCGGTAATGACGTGTTCACACATACAGGTTGACTCTACTTGAGTTTAATGACGGAGACAACCTTATTATGTTCTCCTCCTCTCTTTACCTCTTATCCTCTTCCCTCTCTCTCTCTCTCCTCGTCTTCCTCTTCTCTTTACCTCTTATCCTCTTCCCTCTCTCCCTCTCCTCCTCCACCTCCCTTCACCTCTTACCTCCTCCTAACAGTAGCACCTCAACATCATTATAGAGATAACATGACATAACATGACATGACATGACACACATACACTTCCCACAATGTCCCCCAAAATATTCAATAAAATCGGTCAATTCAATTCATCAACAAGACCAATTAAATACTCAGTTTATTAAGTAAAATTTGCTTCATTATTCAGCTAAGCGACCGTAATGAATGGATGAAAGTGTATCAACGACAGTATACAAACCTTTTACAACAGTCATTTACAACAGGTCATTTACAACAGGTTATTTATAGCAAAGAGTTACGAAAAAAATTACAGCATCCATTGAATGTTATTTACAATGGTCTTTTACAAAAAGTTATTTACCGCGGCCATTTACAACAGCACAGAAACTCTTGAAAATGTACCCCTAAAAAATATTGGCTGGTAACCTTTCACGTCAGCCAATAAAAACGTCTATTGTCAACAAGCAATAAAACGATTGGTCAGTACTCAACCTCTTCCCAACACAGTACAGTACACAACCTTTCTCTCCCTCTAACCCTCTTTCTCCCTTTCCCTCTCTTTCTCTTTCTCAATTTTCTCCCTTCCTCTCCTCTCCCTACGTCTCTTCCCCTTCCATCTCCCCCGTTTCCTCCTCCCCCCTTCTCTTCCTTCCCCTCCTACCCCTCCTACCCCTCCCCCCCTCTACTGAAACATCTCGGTAAACATGTCCACGTGCCAACTGTCCCTCGTCGACTGACTCAGTTGGACATGCAAGAAGATGGAGTGGTCACGCGCTGTTTATCTTGAGAAGCTTCCTGGTAAATTATCTCTCTCTCTCTTTATCTCTACATATCTCTCTCTCTCTCTCTCCCTCTCTCTCCCCCTCTCTCTCCATTCCCTTCCCTCCCTCTCCTCTCCTTCTCCTTCCCTCTCCCTTCCCCCTCTATCCCTGTCACCCTTTCCTTTCTCCTCCCTTCCCCTCCCAAACATTATTTTGAACCTTTTAAATACAATCTAAGTTAACTTCTAATTTATTCTAATTTGTTTCTAAGATAAATTAACTTTCTTATTGTGTGGGTGAAGAGAGAGGGAAAGTGCCTAACCCTCACTACTTTCTTTAACATCACGAAATATTTATGCTCATGTAACTTTCTATACACACACCCACACACACACACACACACACACACACACACACACACACACACACACACACACACACACACACTTTCCCTACACCCTTAAAATATAGTTTCTCCCATCCCTAACTTCATACACCTCAAAAGAAAGTCCTCAAAACATCCCTCTATCTTACTTTCTTTAAATTCTCTGTATCTTACTTTCTTTAACTCTATCCTACTTTCTTAAAAACTCTCCCTGTCTTACTTTCTTTAACTCTATCTTACTTTCTTTAACTCTATCTTACTTTCTTTAAAACTTTCTCTATCTTACTTTCATTAACTCTATCCTACTTTCATAAAAACTCTCCCTATCTTACTTTCTTTAACTCTATCTTACTGTCTATAAAACTTTCTCTATCTTACTTTCTTATTGAGCTGGACGTCTGTGAAGATAGAGTGCACCCGCCAGGTCTTGGAGAACATTGAGCCAAACGCAAGAGTAAAGCCAGCCATCAGCACCCAGGCCCTCGCTGTACAGATGTAAGGGAAGCTCGTCTCGCTCGTCAGCTCAGAGTCCAAACCCAACAAGATGACGGAGGTGTAGGTCAAGATGCAGCCCACTATGATCATGTTGTTGAGGTAGGGAGATGACATCTTGATATATCTTTGAGGGAGAGAGAGTTAGTGAGGGAGGCTTATCGAGGGTTAGGGTGGGAGAGAGGAAGATTTAATTAGAGGGAGGGAGAGTTAAAAAGGGAGACAATGAAAAATAAACAGACACAAAGACAATTACACACACACACACACACACACACACACACACACACACACACACACACACCGACAGAGAGAGAGGAACGACAGTGACAGAACGAGATAGGGGACAAGTAAGAAAAATTAGATAAATTACTTGTCTGTTGGATAATGGAAGCAGACCAACACAACTATCGGCTTTCCATATTAAGAGAGAGAGAGAGAGAGAGAGAGAGAGAGAGAGAGAGAGAGAGATGTGACGTCGTCATAAGGACCCATAATATTATATCACTACCGACAAAAAGGTAGAGGGAGGGAGGGAGAGAGAGAAGGAATGAGGGAGTGATGGGATGGTGGTGGTATATATCACATGGAAGGAAGGAAGGAAGGAGGGAGAGAGAGATTCTGAATTGGGTGTAATAAAGAGAACAAGAAAAATATGACTGTATAATGGAACAATAAGACAAGGTAAGAAAGATGATTAAATTAGGAGCAGGAGAGAACAGGTAACGAGGAAGTGACTCAAGAGTAAGGAATAGAGGGAGAAAGTGAGGACATAGTGAGTCAGATGTCCTAGGTCCTGTCATGTCCAGATGGAGAAGGGGACATCATCATCATGTCTCAAAGGTTGATAAATGAAGAAATATGGACAGCAGGGAAGAAAAAGTGGAAACAATTAGGACACAAGTGTTGGGTTGGTGGGTTTGATGTCCCCGGGGCCTGTCATGTCCAGGTGGGGGGCCCGGGAAGGACACGCTGAGGTGTCCAGGAGGGAGAGTATTGAACGAGGCTCTTGGCAGTATCTCAATAACGTCTCCTTGGCCAGAGATGTTTGGAAAATGAGGGGGGGGGGGAGGTGAGGAGGATAGGGAGAGGGAGGAAGGTAGGGAGGTAGGGGAGGGAGGGAGGTAGGGGGGTAGGGGTAGGGGGGAGGGAGGAGGGAGGGAGGGAGGGGAGGGAGGGAGGGAGGTAGGGTAGGGAGAAGGTGTGAAGAGAAGGAGGACGGTGGTGAGAGGGAGGTAGGGAGAGTGGAAGGTAGGAAGGAAGAGAGGCAAGCCATGGGGGCCACAGAGAGGCAAGGGGCCATGACTACAGGGAGACAAGGGGCCATGGCCAAAGAGACACCAGGACCACCAGGGCAATAACTTCCAGAATTATGGAGGAACAACAAACTCTCGCCTGGTTTTATTGGTCCATTTATACACCTTAAGTGTCCTCAAAAGCCATTTTTATTTGGTCAGGTTATGGCGTCGTACCACACACACGCACGCACGCACGCACACACACACACACACACACACACACACACACACACACACACACACACCTTGTTAAATCTACATAACAAGTTTTGTTAAAATTCATATTTATTTGATCAGTTTATCGAATTCACAACTACCCGGACGGACGGACGGACGGACGGACACACTTTTATATAACTCACAAAGATAAAAAAAATCTTCAAAAACAGTACAAAAAAAATTCCATAAAAATTATAAAAGTTAACGAAAAAAATCCCTAAAAAATAACAGTAAACAAAAGTCATAAACAATAAGTAATAAAAGTAAATAAAAGTCCACAAAAAGTAAACTTAAAGTAGGAATTAAGTTCTCTGATAATATAAACAGGTGACCAGGTGTGCTTAATGGCGGGAAATATACATTGCCAAATACCCTAAAAATTACGAATTATAATTAATGCTTATTTTATTTACACGCAATATATAATAAATTGCTAATATTAAAAAAAATAACAATTGGTGGCTGAAAAATATTAAAAAAATTATATAAAAATTAACCTAAATTGAAATGAATTTGACGCCTGGATCTGCGTCACTGCGTATCAGGGAGTTTAACCCCACGTGGCAATCCGCTCTGTTTACATCCCCGCCAAAACATTGTTGGAACAGTGTTGATCTTTATTACGCTGGGAGGCGCCGTCCATAATTCATATTTTATTGCACCTGTTATTACGCCTCTGGAATATTAGGGGTTTTATTACCTCCCATTACCGAGAGATGAATTATCAGTCCGTGTGTATAAAACAGACGCGCTGTGAATACTCGTCGCGTCCGCCATTTACGAGTGAGTGAGTGAGGGAGTGAGTGAGCGAGTGAGTGAGTGAGCGTTCGTGTAAAGTACAGTACTCTGCCGCACCTGGAAACATCGTCAGTCTCTAGAAAAACATTAAATTACCTCCATTATGAGAAAATAAAGATTCTTGTGAGAGATTATGAGTATAGCTGCTCATAATTTTTAGTAATGAGAAGTACTAAAGTATATAAGAGAATTTATACTTTATTAAATGTTCATAACTGACCGGGAATGTTTTTAAGGAGTGATCATTAGACACAGCTGGTCCTTTAAGAAATAAAATATCCCACTCACATATTACCCAGCAGTCAGGTCAGTAAGGAGGAAATATTGCGAACTGAACGTGGCCAAATGAGGAAACTAAGAAGGAAATGTGGAGGAAAATGACCAGGAAAAGGGGGAGGAAAATAAGGAAAACATTGTGGAGGAAATTAATAGGAAAATGAGGAAGAAATTTAGAAGCAAAAGAGAAGAAATGAGCTAAAAATGCGAAGGAAAATAAGAGGAAGATGTGAAGGAAAATGTGGGTAAAAATGAGAAGAAAATGAGAGAAAAGCGAAGAAGAAAACGAAGGAATATTCCAAAACTTTATTGAGTTTTCCTTGACAAGATTATTACGAACATGTAAACATCCACTTATCTCACCCTCAGCCACGTACACACACACTTGCGATACGTACACAAACATAAGCTACGTACACAATAAATCTTCCAGATTAAATAGGAAATTGCATGTAAAAATAAGTAATTGGGTCAGTATATAATTGGGTTAGTAATGGGTCAGTAATTGAGTTAGTAATTATGTCACAAATTAAGTCGGTAAATTAGTAATTGGGCTATAAATTGGGTCAGTATCTTAGTAATTGGGTCAGTAATTGGGTAATTAATTGAGGTGAATTAAACCAGTCCACTGTAACCATGAAGGTGTACTGTATCCTCTCTCACCTGTATTTTAAAGGTAATACGACACACAATACAAAATATAGTAGGTTACGTTCACTATAGGTCCGGTACAGTCTAGGAAACAAACACTAGATCACCTGGAGATAAGACACACCTGTGTACTACACCTGAAGATAAGACACACCTGTGTATTACACCTGAAGATAAGACACACCTGTGTACTACACCTGGAGATAAGACACACCTGTGTATTACACCTGAAGATAAGACACACCTGTGTATTACACCTGAAGATAAGACACACCTGTGTACTACACCTGAAGATAAGACACACCTGTGTACTACACCTGAAGATAAGACACACCTGTGTATTACACCTGGAGATAAGACACACCTGTGTACTACACCTGGAGATAAGACACACCTGTGTACTACACCTGAGATAAGACACACCTGTGTACTACACCTGAGATAAGACACACCTGTGTACTACCTACACCTGTGAAGATAAGACACACCTGTGTACTACACCTGAAGATAAGACACACCTGTGTACTACACCTGAAGATAAGACACACCTGTGTATTACACCTGGAGGTAAGACACACCTGTGTACTACACCTGAAGATAAGACACACCTGTGTACTACACCTGAAGATAAGACACACCTGTGTATTACACCTGAAGATAAGACACACCTGTGTACTACACCTGAAGATAAGACACACCTGTGTATTACACCTGAAGATAAGACACACCTGTGTATTACACCTGAAGATACGACACACCTGTGTATTACACCTGAAGATAAGACACACCTGTGTATTACACCTGGAGATAACACACACCTGTGTATTACACCTGAAGATTAACCACCCTAACGCTACCTGTGGGGTTAGGTTAGGTTAATCTTTAAGTGACTTAAGCACAACCATCGTCACTTCACTACCACAACCATCACAACAATCACCACAACCATCACCACCACAACCATCACCACCACAACCATCACCACCACAACCATCACTACCACAATCCTCACTACCACCTGAACTTATCAACTGCTTCCCACTCACCTCACACCTTCAATAATTAAGTGACCTCTTCCCGGTGACCTTTGACCTTCAACCGACACAAACACGGGGCGGAGGGCTGGTCAAAATCAATGGCTGTGTGTGTGTGTGTGTGTGTGTGTGTGTGTCTGTGTGTACTTCAACACGTACGTACCTGTAATCATCTCAACTATACATCAGTATCTGTTGTCCGTGAGCACGTACTAGCCACGCCCGCCCGTACACCCGTCGGTTATCATACTAAGACAGACCCGACCGTCCATTCATAGTCACACAGGGATAGATCCGTCCGGTCTACCATCCGTCCGGTCCACCATCCGTCCGTACGGACACGAGGCCATACAAGACGGTACTGACCAAACCTAAAATGACCTACCCACCAAGGTTAAAGACGTAACCCACACACCACTCTCCAGCTATCCAGACTATAATTGGGTAGTTCACGACGCGCTAGCTATCGATGGCAGGGTGGGATTGTCTATGTAAATAATCCTTTGTTCGCTCCTATGTCGGGTAGAATAGTAGTAGTAGTAGTAGTAGTAGTAGTAGTAGTAGTAGCAGTTGTTGTTTTTGTTGTTGTTGTAGTATTAGTAGTAGTAATAATAATAAACTGCCGAGCCTCTACCACTACACGCACACACACACACACACACTCACACACACACACCACACACACGCACACACACACACACACACACACACACACACACACACACACGCACACACACACACACACACACACACACACACACACACACACACACACACACACACACACACACACACACAGGAATCTAATCTCAAAAGTTTGAAGAAAAACCTCACAGGGTTGGTGAGTTACAACAGACACAGACAGACATATGGACAAATAGTTTGGACAATGTTTACGTGTTGTTGATAGAGATGATAATCATGTTATTATAGCCAGTGATAATGAGTCCTATAGACCAAGACAATCAGAGGAAACTGTACTTTACCACTGCCTCACACTCAACAGCAACTGCAGGCACCACTATGTTAGGACGGACAATACGCACAACGATATTAAGTAACATAACAAGACAGACAGACAGACAGACAGACAGACAGATAGGGTCCAGGTGTTACTGTGGTGGCACCTGTCATAATTATCACCTGAGGTAGTAATTAATTCGCAGGTGAGGGACAAATATTTACTCTCCCTGATTTACTCCTCCCTGATCCCCCCCCCCCTTGTGATGGTGACGGTGATGTAATATAATAATTAACTCTCTGTCTCTCTGTCTCTCTCTCTCTCTCTCTCTCTCTCTCTCTCTCTCTCTCTCTCTCCCTCTGTTTCTGTGTCGGTAGAGTGTTCCATTTTTCTATTGGTAACACTTCCCCTCTCTCACATTGTTGCTGGGAGGGTGAGGGAGAGTGTGGGAGGGTAAGGGAGGGTGTGGGAGAGTGAGGGAGGGTGAGTGAAAGTTAGGGAGAGAAAGGAAGAGGCTTGGAAAGGGAGGGAGAGTGAGGGAGAGTGGGGAAGAGTGAGTGAGAGGGCTCGTTAGTAGTGGAGAGTGTGAGAAAAAAAAATACTTAATTGGTATTGATGTTTTAGGGAGGAACAACACTCATTCTGTGTGTGTGTATCCCGGTGTTATGGTGAGAGGGAGGGAGAGGGAGGGAGAGGGAGGGAGAGGTAGGGGAGATACTGGGATATGTTGGTGGAGAAGAGAGGCAGGGAGAGGAAGGGAGGGAGGGAGAAGGAAAATGAATGAGGGAGAGAGGATAGGAGAGAAAGAGGGAGATGGAGGGTGAATAAGGGAACGTGAATAAGAGGGAAGAACAAGGAGGGAGAGAAGGAAGGAAGGAAGGAAGGAAGGAAGGAAGCAGGGACGTATTATAATGACTACTACTACTACTACCAACACAAGTACCACAACTACAACAACTAATATTACCACAACTACCACACCCACTACCACAACTACCACACCCACTACCACAACTACCACACCCACTACCACAACTACCACACCCACTACCACAACTACCACACCCACTACCACCATCCCCAGGTATTCAAGTCACCTGTAAATCTACTTAATATTAACCCACTCACATTTTTACTTGCCTGGAGTGACTCGTTTAGTATTCATAGGTGTGTAAAGTAATATTATAAGTGTGTAGTGGCCGCCGCTTCCTCTTATAGCGGTAAACTTATACATTTCTGCCTCTTCTGACTCACACAGCGATATATATATTCATTATATTTCTGCATCAGGTTAATTAAGTATTCATAAAGGTGTTTCAGGTTTGGATTATAAATTAGTGAAGGTTTTATTTTGCTTATTCATAGTTTTATATAATGTGGTGTGTGTGTGTGTGTGTGTGTGTGTGTGTGTGTGTGTGTGTGTGTGTGTGTGTGTGTGTGTGAGTACATATACACACACACGTACACTAATTTATTTCCCTACTTTAATGTTATTGTTGTTTATAATTGACAATTTATTCTTTCAATTTATTCTATTGTTTCCAAATGATGTCTGGCAGCAGGAGCGTCAGTGTATTCTCAATCTATATTTATTCTCGTATTCCTATAGATTTATTCTGATGGGGAGGAAAATCTAGGTGTATTCTTTTTTAAATTGTTTTTTATACTAAGGATGTGTATTTATTCTCATTTAATGTATTTTATTACCAACAAATGTACTTTATAAAGGAGATATCTAAGTTGATTATATTTTAGTTTATTCTATTGCCCATAAAATGTCTTCTCATCCTAAACTACCAATATATTCTCTTTCCTCTACACTAGTCTGGGGGAAAAGAACAAATTCAATGGAGAGGAAACGACCCAATTTATTCGTTTTCCAGTATTGAGTTTATTCCTTTTTTATGTACAATTTAAAGGTCACGTCTGTAGATTTACTTTCTCACTTTATTTTCAATGTTTGTGAAGGATATTTTAAGAGAATGGAAGAAACAAATTTATTCTTTTCCGTTCGATTTAGTTTGGTATTTGCTGAAGGCTGTCTTGTGTGTGTGTGTGTGTGTGTGTGTGTGTGTGTGTGTGTGTGTGTGTGTGTTTCCTTGTTATTCTTCTTCTTCCTCTTCCTCTACTTCTTTCCTCTTCCCTTTCCTCCTCCTCCTCCTTCTTGTGTTTCCTTGTTATCATTCTTCCTCCTTCTCCCTCTTCCTCCTCTTTATGTATTTCCTTGTTATTATCTCTCCTCTTCCTTCTCCTTGTCTGTCTTCCTTACGTTTTTCTGTTCCATTTTTATTACTCTCTTGTCTGTTTACGGATAATTATCGCTTATTTTTTCTTACTCTCTTTCTCTAAATTCTTTCTTGTCTTCCTACGTCTCATTAGTGTAAATTATTGTCTGTCTGTCTGCCTGTCTGTCTGTCTGCCTGTCTGTCTGTCTGTCTGTCTGTATCACCAGGTAGGACAGCAGATAACAGCAGACTTGTGGGAGAATAACAACAGGTAGAGTGACACCTGTCCGCTAAAATCTGTAATTACTGAACCGCTCTTATTGAAACACCTTCCTCCCTCCTCTTCCCTCTCTTCTTCCTCTTCTCTTCCTCATTCCTTCTCCCTTCTCTTCCTCATCTTCCTCCCACTTGCTCCTCCTTTCTCATTCCCCTCAACCATTCCTCCCTTCCCTCTCTCCCCCTCTCTCTCTCTCCCCCTCTCTCTCTCTCCCGTCTCCCTTCCACTCACCATCTTCCGGTCCCTACCACTCCTTCTCCTCTCCTCCAATCTTCCCCCCTCTCCCTCTCCCTCCTTCCCTCCCCATCCCTGTACGTTTATGCATTCTCTAACCTTCAGTGTTTCAGCAAAATCCCCCCCCCCTTCCTCCTCCTCCTCTTCTTCCCCTTCTGTTCCTGCTTCTTCGCCTTCTACCTCTCTCTCTTCCTTCCCTCAACCGCCCTCCTCTCTCATCCTTTCTTCCCTTCATTTCACCTCCTCTTCTTCTTCTTCCTCCTCTCCACCTCCCTTTCTTCATCTCCCTCTCATCCTCTTCCTCCTCCCTTTCCTTCCATTCAACCACCTTCGTCTCTCATCTTTCTCTTTTTGTATTTTCTTCACCTCTTCTTCTTACTCTTCCCCCTCCTCCTCCTCCTCTCCCTCTCCCTCTCCTCCTTCTCCTCCTCCTCTTCTTCACACACAGGTACACAATACTCAAGAGACCAACATCAGTGCCCGGCTCACCTCTCCACACAGTATTCCTTCTAACTAATAATATCTTTGCGTGCTGAGAATTGATGTGTGTGTGTGTGTGTGTGTGTGTGTGTGTGTGTGTGTGTGTGTGTGTGTGTGTGTGTTAAGGGGGGTACGACAGAGTTAAGTTTAGTTCCGGGTTGTGTTTCGGGTTCGGTATTGAGTCCGGAAATTAGTCCAGACTCGGTAGTTTCCTTGATGTGGTCACACACACACACACACACACACACAGATTAACGTCTGGATTAACCAATAGATGTTAAGAATTATGATTTTAAGCAAATTTTACTGAGAAGAGGAAGAAGAAAAACAAATATATGTGAAGACTTAAATAAACTAGAATTGGTAACACTGAGCAGCACTTACCTGTGAACAACAACAACAACAACAACAACAACAACGTCAATAATGCATACAACAATAACCAACACCCAATATTCTCTCTCTCTCTCTCTCTCTCTCTCTCTTTCTCTCTCTCTCTCTCTCACCTCTGGTTCCTGTATCTAATGTTGATGGCGAGGAAGATGGAAGCCATGACGATCCCAGAGGAGGCGATGGTGACGAGGATGGCGTAGATACTGATGTTAACGCTGGTCTTCTCTATGAGCTTTACGGTACGGTCGAGTGGAGGATCACCCCCTGGCCAGTAGATGGGGTGACCCTTGTCTAGCTGAAGGACGTCCTCGAACCCGTCAAACTCTCCGATCTTCACCTCTCGTCCTCCTGTTGGTGAGGGGGGTGAGGGAGGAGGAGGGAGTGAGGGAAGGTGAAGTGTGGAGGAGGGGGAAGGTGGGGGTGTAGGAGGAGGGAGGTGAGACAGTGAGGGGTGGAAGGAAGGATGGACAGATGGGGGGTTTGGTTTATGGGTTGAGAAGGAGAGAAGAGAGGAGAGAAGAGAGGAGAGAGGGAAGGAGGGAAAGAAGTAAGGAGGAAGGACAGGAAAGTGATGAGAGAGAGGGAGGGGGTGGTGAGGACGTCAAATAATGAAGAGGGTGAAGATGGGAAGGGAGAGGGAAAGGAAGAATAAAGAAGAGGAGAATAAAAGAAGATAGAGGAAGGTGGAAGATGAAGGTCATAAATAATGGAACGGGGAGATGGGAAAGAGGACGTCAATAATGAGAAACAATAGGGAAGGGAGGGAAGGGGAAAGGGGAAGGGAGAGAGGAGGGATAGGGAGGAGAGGGGAAGGAAGACGGATGGTAGATGTGAGAAGGGAGAGGGAAAGGGAGATAAAAGGGGAGAGGAACAAGAAGCAGCAAGAATGAAATAGGGAAATAATATTGAAAATACGAGACAGAGACAGACAGACAGACAGACAGACAGACAAATAGAGAAAGAGAGAGAGAGAGAGAGAAAGAGATATAATTTAGGGAGATGGGAAGAACCGTGATGAGAGTGTCAATAGAAGAGGGCGAGGGAGAGAAAATGAAGGAAGGTAGAATAAGAGAAAATTGAATAAACGAAAAAAAAAGAAAATAAATTGACGAAGAATACACAGAAAGGAGAGGAAACAGTGTAAAGGAATGAACGATAAAGGAAATTGATAGGAAAATGACGGAAATTGATTGAAAACAGAGTTGAAGGGTGAAGGGGTAACGTAGAGGGAATTGAAAGATGATAAAAATATTGAAAATATTATAAAACAATTTACAGAATGATGGAAATAGATGGAAAAAAGAAAGACGGAATGATTTAGTTTGATAGAGAGGGAGAGTTGATGGATTGTAGTGATGGTGGTAGTGGTTGTAGTGTTGGTAGTGGTGTTAAGGATGGTGGTAGTAGTAGTAGTAGTAGTAGTAGTAGTAGTAGTAGTAGTAGTAGTAGTAGTGGTGGTAGTATTGGTGGTGGTCATGGTAGTGGTGATGGTGGTGGTGGCACAGGAAGAGGAGAAGGAGAAGGAAGAGGAGGAGGAGGAGGTAGGAGGAAGGAAAGGCGAGGTAATATTGGCATTGATATTATCAGGAAGAGGAGGGAGAGGGTGAGGTGGATAACAGAGAGGAAGACAAGACAAATAAACAGATCAAAAGGGGCTACACCTGGGGGCTACACCTGAGGGCTACACCTGAGGGCTACACCTGAGGGCTACACCTGGGGGCTACACCTGAGGGCTACACCTGGGGGCTACACCTGGGGCTACACCTGGGGCTACACCTGAGGGGAGCTACACCTGGGGAGCTACCTGGGGCTACACCCTGGGGGCTACACCTGAGGGCTACACCTGGGGGCTGCACCTGGGGGCTACACCTGAGGGCTACACCTGAGGGCTACACCTGGGGGCTACACCTGAGGGCTACACCTGGGGGCTACACCTGAGGGCTACACCTGAGGGCTACACCTGGGGGCTACACCTGACGGCTACACCTGAGGGCTACACTTGAGGGCCAACTCTCAAAGTATAATAAATAACTAGCTTTTACAATGCATTTCTATAACATATATCAAAGCATATAATTATAACCACTCAGATCTATAATTCACGTCTTTAAGGTAAATATGCGTAAATTATACTAAGTTATATAACAATACAGGTCTATAATTGATCCATTTATATTAATCGCAATTATACGTCAATGTGTCGAACGGTGTATTGAGCACTTAACACATACACACACACACACACACACACACACACACACACACACACACACACACACACACACACACACACACACACACACACACACACACACACACACACACACACACACACACACACACACACACACACACACACACACACACACATACACACACACGCAGCATAATAGAAAATAAAGAATAATACTCTCCTCCCTCTTTCCCTCCTTTCCCCTCACCCATGAAACCTCCTTCCACCTCCCCCTCACACCCTTACACCTCACCTTACACCTCCTTACCTCCCCATCCTTCACACCCTTACCCTCCATCCCCCCCCCTTCTCCCTCCCCCTCCCCGAAATTACTAGCGTAAAATATGCAAATGTCATTAGAAAACAAAGGAAAGAGCTGAATTGATTAGGCGTTACACACACACACACACACACACACACACACACACACACACACACACACACACACACACACACACAGACACACACACACACACACACACACACACACACTACATATAAGTCTTCACAGTGTTCTTAAGGAGTGAGAAAACATGATTTGGTTATTTAATTATTAATGACAGCTCATGTTTGTAGGGAACAATCTCTCTCCTCTCTCTCTCTCTCTCTCTCTCTCTCTCTCTCTCTCTCTCTCTCTCTCTCTCTCTCTCTCTCTCTCTCTCTCTCTCTCTCTCCAGGCAGAGGATTTCTTGATGTCATATTCCCCTTAAAGACGCCCGGCCCCACCCCCCTCTCTATCTTTCTCTCTCCTTTTCCTCTGCTCCCCTCCCCCCTCACCCTCCTTCATCCTCTACTCTACCTCTCTCTCTCTCCCTCCCCCTACCTCCTTCTCCCCCTCTACCCCCCTTCCCACACCTTGCACCTCTCTCTCCCCTCTACCCCCCCTATTTATCTAAGGGTGTGATGGCTCGAGGGTTATCTACCAGAGTAATGGAGATTCCGTGTAGTTTAAGGGAAGACTTCATACCAGCAGGTGACTCCCAGCCTCCATCAAGGGAGAGAAAGAGATGAACTCCTCCTGTGTCTCCTTCATCTCTCACATCACTCGAGGAGAAATTTTGTATCTCTAAATCACCCCGACGGTCTCTAGATGGAAAGGGGAGGGAGGGGAGGGGAAGGGAGGGGGGAGAGGTCAGATGGAGGGAAAAAAGTGGTTTCTTTTTTCTTATTTTTAATTTGGTTTTAGTTTTCTTCTTCAGGTCTCCAGCAGGAAGGAGAGGAGGGGCCAAGGTGAGGGGAGGGAGGGGGGAAGGGAGGGAAGGAAGGGAGGGAGGAAAGGGAGGAGGGAGGAAAAGGGAGGGAGGGGGTTCTTTTTAATTTGTTTTTTAGTTTTCTTCTTTTTTTAGGTTTATTCTTGTTTTTTTAGGAGTTGGTTAATGTTTGGGAGGTTTAAGTACTTTTATTCATTCCAGTGGTGACTTAACCTTTGTAATATGGTAACAACCCTTTGGTGTGGTGACAACCCTTTGTGTATGGTGACTTAACCCTTTGAGTGTGGTGACAACCCCTTTGTGTATGGTGACTTAGCCCTTTGGGTATGGTGATTTAACCCGCTTTGTGTATGGTGACAACCCTTTGAGTGTAGTGACTTAACCCTTTGTGTATGGTGACTTAACCCCTTTGGAGTATGGTGACTTAACCCTTTGAGTGTGGTGACTTAACCCTTTGAGTGTGGTGACTTAACCCTTTGTGTATGGTGACTTAACTATCTTAGCCTCTTGAGTACAATAACATAATCCCTCGAGTACAATAACATAACCCCTGAGTACTCCAACATAACCCTTTGAGTACAATAACATAACCCCTGAGTACTCCAACATAACCCCTTGAGTACAATAACATAACCCCTGAGTACTATAAACAACACATCCCTCTCTCACACATTTCATAAATAGCTCCAAACTTTAAAACTTACTTATCACATTTACAAAGAGACAAAAAAAAATATTAAATCCTGACGCATTTTTTTTCGAGGTTTCTCTGAGCCATGAAGAATTACGTTATGTTTT